TCTATATTCTATTCTATTCTATTCTATTCTACTTATATTCTATTCCATATTCTATTCTATTCTACTCTACTCTATATTCTATTCTATTCTATTCTATTCTATTCTATTCTATTCTATCCTACCCTTTCTATATTCCCTTCATTTCCATTCCATTCCACTCCACTCCACTCCACTCCACTCTATATTCTATTCTATTCTATTCTATTCTATTCTATTCTATTCTATCCTACCCTTTCTATATTCCCTTCATTTCCATTCCATTCCACTCCACTCCACTCCACTCCACTCTATATTCTATTCTATTCTATTCTATTCTATTCTATTCTATTCTAAATCCAACTTACAAACATTCAGAAATATACAAATTAAACATAGTTCTAATTTGGCTAATTGATTTTAAAGGATGCTCACTAAGTTTTAGCTCGCTAATATTTCTGGGAGCTCTTTTCACCAAAGCAGAAAGATTGCAAAAGAACAAACGTTGTTCTTGAATTAGGTTTTTGTCTGATTGCAGCTGATATGTTTTGAACCCCTAAAAAGCTTCTCTCTCCCCCCCCCTCCCTCACCCCCTCTCTCTCTCGCTGTCTTGTGGCAAGGAGTTCCACAGGCTCTCGGTTCAGGATGCAAACCATCCCACCCGACCCCCCCTGCGTTCCTCAGGGAAGACTCACCTGTCCTTGCCGGTCTCTTTTCGGAACAATTCGTCAAACTGTTGCATGCGCTTGGGAGAAACCGCGAAGGCCGACATGTTGGGGAAACTGAGGCTGACCCTTTCGATGAGCTTGATGATGCTCTTCTGCATCTTGAGGGGGGGACCCCAGAAAATCAAGATGTTCTCGGGGGTCTTGTTGATGAATTCCTGCGGCCTCTTCAGCACCCGGAAGGCGCTGGAGTGAGCCACAACCCGGAAGGTAGTCTTGTTCCCCACGTCGTCCGAGAAGCCCGTGGTGGGCGCGTCGTTCATGCGGATGGTGCATTCGGACTCGTCGATGGCTCGGCCCAGTTTGCTGCCCAGGAGGTGACTGGAACTGGTGATGAGGGCACATTCATTGCAGTGCTGAACCAAGGGCTGGGGTAGAAAGCAACTCAGTTGGAGCAACTCAGTTGGGCTTAGACCACTAAATCATACTTTTAAATCCCGCGGACCACTAATACAATCTGCCTAATGACAAGCAGGGTGGGCGTGGCTAGGTGGTCATGTGACTGGGTGGGCGTGGCCAACTCGATGCCGCTCACATTGAGTGGCGCCTCAACAGCCTCTACTTGCCCCGCCCCTCCCAGCCCCTCCTCGCCTGCCCACCTGGGCTCCTTAGGGCCCCAACAGGAAGCCGTTNAGGAGGAAGAGGAGGAGGAGGAGGAGGGGTGGAGTCATCGTTTAACCTGGCTGTTGCAGCTGGGGTTAATGGGCACTGCAACCCAACAGATGGAAATGAACTGAACTGAGAAAGATGGATGGATGGAGGTCTGGGTTTTGTAGGAGAGAACTCAAAGTCGCAAAGCTCAATTCTCTTGTTTGAATTTTGCCAATTAAGGTGTAGGAATGGTGATGTTATTTGCGGAGTTGGCAAATTGGAGGCCAGCTACCTCAGTGCTCAGGCCTGGATACCCACCATGGAACAGAAAAAAAAATAAGATCAATAGATTTGGGGACCCCCTTTCCCGGATAGGACAGATAAGGGGTTTCATCACTTGGCCAGCAGCAGGTATGAAATGCCTTCAGAAACTTTGGGGGAAGATTAGATGACCACTGGAAGGCTCTCCCTTCTCCCTTCCCTGTTCTGTTTTTTAAAAAAGTATTTTAATTTTTAAAATCTTTTCGTAATAAGGACAGAAACAAAATAGCACCTTCATCTTGTCTCCCCTTGATAGCCCAAGATTACAACTCCCATCCTCCTCAACTGGGGAGGGGCAAGCACCAAGGGAAGTTTAGCCCAATTGACCTCTCTTAAAAAAACAAACCCAACCTTTGAAAGAATTAAAGAGATGGAGCAAGACGGGGGAAGAGGGGGGGTTAAACAGATGGTGGCCACCTTCCAAACTATCATTTTCTCTGATCATGAGCAAGTTGGCTAGGAATAATGGGAGTAGGAATCCGTAGTTCAGGAGGGCTCCCCTGCCAGGATCAAGTCTCTAAAGTTGAACAAGACAGCGAAGAAAAACCAGAAAGAGATTGGGGGGCGGGGGAATCTATCTTGGAGAACTTATCAACCATTAAGCTTCCAACTAGAAGCAAGCTTGATGGTCTTCCAACCAACTGTGAGTTCACTAGACTTCTAATTTCCCACAATGCCTCAAGGCACACCTCTATGCCATGATGGGAAACGTAACACAGCAGTCCAGGAACCAGAGAAAGGGGAAGCAAATATCTCTTGGAGAACTTACCAACCATCAACCATCCAACTAGAAGCAACCTTGATGGACTTCCATCCAACTGTGAGCTCATCGGACTTCTAATTTCCCACAAGTCCCCAAGGTGCTTCTCTATGGCATGACGAGAAATAACAAGAACAGAGAAGTGGGGGGGGGGATTCTCTTGGAAAGCTTACCAACAAGCTCCACCTAGGAGCAACCTTGCAAGGGGTTGAGATGGACTTCCACCCAACTGTGATTCTCATCGGACTTCTAATTTCCCACAATGCTCCAAGGCACTCCTCTAGAGCATGTTGGGAAATAACACAGCAGTTCCAGGAACCAGAGAGAGAAGGAAAATAAAATTTTCTTGGAGAATTTACCAACCACCAACCATCCAACTAGAAGCAACCTTGATGGACTTCCATCCAACTGTGAGCTCATCAGACTTCTAATTTCCCACAAGTCCCCAAGGTGCTTCTCTATGGCATGACGAGAAATAACAAGAACAGAGAAGTGGA